TGCCATCTTCACTTGGTCTGACCTACATGTGACTCCAGACAGCAATGTGGTTAACTCTCAACTGCCTTCTGGGTGATTAGGGATGGGTAATAAATGCTGGCCTGTTCAAAGACACCCACATCCCAGGAATGAATTTGGAAAAACCAACCTTAACGTTAGCTGGATCCAGTTATTGTTTTTGACAAAGTTTTAACCTGCTGCTTTAGAGAAATTTTAACTAACATGATTACGTATGACATATTTCAAGAATAATTTCATTACCCTTGTTGATTGTGATTATCTGTCTTCTGTACTCAAAGTTGAATTTTTTGGCGAGTTCATGACTACTCTTGCTGCCTTGTTACAAAATATCAGGGAATAGCCACCAAAGAAAAATAAAAAAAAATCTCATTTCTCTATGCCAGGGAACTACTGCTGGTTCTCTGCCTTGTTCTAGATCATATCAGGAGACATCAATTCTTCCTAAACTTCTGTGTCAACAAAGTGATTTGATTATAGAAATGATTGTTTTTAATGTGCAAAATCAAACAAAAACTCCACAACAAGTGGCTGGAACAGGGCTCTGTCCACTTCCAGGACACATCATTTTAATTTGTTTAAAAATTATTGTAACTGAATCTCAAGGGTTGATTAATGAGGGCTGAGTCTCCAAAACTGATTGGTACCATGCCAAAGCAGCCTGTGTTATATCCCATGTATGTATCCTCGATCCTCTGGTTAATTAATTCTGGTTTAACAGCTCAAAATGTTCATCTAGCTGTAGATGTTTCTTAAGGAGCCTAATGGTTCAGTGAGTTCATCGAGTGCAGAACTGAATCTCAGTTTCACAATCCGCAAGTATGTTTTCTGCAATATGCTTTATACAATGTCTAATTTGTGGATTTTTGAACTCCAAGGTTTGCTCTATTAACTCAGCAACCTTTTCTCGTGAGTACAGGTCAGGATAGGAAGACTCCAGGTTCAATCTCTAAACTGTGGTGGGTTAGCTGATCTCAATCAGGGACCCCACAATCGGTCTATATGCCTCTACATTCATAGGATTTTACAAAGTAATGGACACTGTACTCTGGTGAATTTTTAATTAGATAGCTGGCATTTTCATTTAAATTCATACGGTACTTGTAATTTTCAGGGCTGTGAAAGTGCTGAATGACTAAAATAACAGAGATATACCTATTATTGGTACTGTAGATATTTTCAGCAGAATACAGGATATTATATTCCAAAGTAAGGTGATCCAAGTGAAATAAAGAGCACCAGAGGTGTAGACTGACACAACTAGTACATATTTTGAAAGTATAAAGTTGCTGTCTTTAGTGTTTTATATCAAATGTTTTCCAAAAGCTTTCAACTACAACTTCATGGTAAACTAAGATGAAACAGTAACCAGAATTGTTAGTACCATCTAGTGGCTACAAACAGGAATAATACTTTTAATTTTGGAGATCCAGCATTTTCAGGATGCTTTTCTTTTTTATTCATCTATCAGAATAGTTCACTTGTTTTACTTTTTAAACTACTGGTTAATCTCCTGCGGTAGTTCCAGCATGTTCTGTTTCAATTTATATTCTATTT